TTTGGGGGGGCTCTCGGGGAAAAAGGTTGGGAACCCGGGGGTGTAAAACTCAAGGCCCGGGGGCCAAATCCGGCCCGCGACTTCATTTTATGTGGCCCCACAAGAGCTTGCAAAGAATATAAAATGTTTGTTATACGGTTACATGGCGATTTACAGAAGCACGTTGCCCATACATGGTGCACAATGCATCTCAAATTTGCCTTTTTTCTTCTAAATATGCCTTTTTTCTCAGAATTTGTCCTTTTCTCAGAAGTGACTTTTTTTTCAAAACCGAGTTAATTATGAAGTTATTACCCTACCCGATAATAATCCAATGCAGAGGCAATGATGTAATATAATACATTATTTTCTATATATATATATATATGTATTTTTATATAGTCTTAAAGTTACAACCGGCCCTTTGAGTGCAACCATAATGCGAATGTGGCCCGTGATGAAATTGAGTTTGACACCCCTGCTCTAGAGTTACCCATTCATTTCCTATGGTGGTCATTTTTGACTGGGAACACCATCATTGTTACAAAGTTGACTAAACCACCCAAAATTCAAAGAAAGTGGTGATCAGCAACGTTATATGTTCAAATGCCGACTGTGGAGGATATCATAAGGCCTGGTTGGAATCAAATATCAAACACAATATTTATGATTGATGAAAGAAGTAATCGGTCCAATTTGATTCGAACACCACAGGAGGGTTAAAACAACTATGTATATAACAAATTAGCAACTTTGGCAACAATAAGACAACATTATTGCATATTTTTCTGCACAGTAGTTGTTCATGAATTTCAATGATTATAATAAGAAAGAAAGAAGAGTTACCAGTCATCTCCAATGGGCACCCTGAAAGGGAATGTACAGAGGCTGGCCACAGTAGGGTTGGCCACATCATCGACCATCCAGTCAATGTCCTTCTTCAGTACAATAGCCATGTTACTGGGTAGAAGCTTGAATGGCTGCCAATCTTGAATGATGGTGGCGTTAGGAAGGACCCCATGCATCCGATCAGAGGTCAGATACAGCCGGCGGATGGCTGTATTGTCGAGACGCACTGGAGGAGGTTTGAAGGAGGTGGACAAAGAAGATTGAATATCTCCAAGACCAAGATCAGACAGACGCAGCTTGAGTTCTTCAGCCCTGAAGCGCACCAGGAGAATACCCTATAGAGAAGAAAGCCAATGCAGGAGCTGACCATGGACTATATCGTATATATTTACATCAATAGTAAAACCAACTGACTTAAATTGAGGCTTATAAAGCACAGGCCGATACATAGAAAGGCTTGTTGCTTGTACCTGCTTGGTTATGAGGCGATATTTCTGGAAATCCTTGGGTCCGAGCTGATCGTCACGGGTCAAGCGGGTTACTTTGACATCAGGGAACTTGGATTTGACCAGATCAGAGCAAAAGCGCAGCAGAACCCCAGCCACACCCTTACCCCTTTCCTGAGGGGCGACACGTAGACCTTCCACCAGCATCGTCTCCCCATCGTCAATCACAACCACTGACTCCAGAGCAATCTGTTGAGTAGAAGAAGAACATGTTGGGAAGAACCCTTTGGATACTTTGCCTCCTGCCAGTGAAAGTTATCTAAAACACGTTCAATGTCATTGAGTCGGATAAGACGTAAACACAGAAAGAGGTCTCCCAAAATACTCAAAACTGGTGTAGTAGGCAGTGTAGCATAAAGTAACTACTATCAATTGAAAGTGCCACCAAAGAGCTCAACGTGTAGTTTCTAGCCAAACAACATGTCAACATCCGTGCTTGGCGTGTACAGGTTACGATTTAAAATTCAGTAATTATATAATAGTTCCTATCCCGAGTAACCCCCCTTTACTACAAGGTTTGTCTCAATTGCTGTCTTGCTAGAAGTTAGAGGGGTTAATCATATTGGTGGGCTCTACTTTAGAGAGACTGGTCTGGGACATGTTAGCATGGCAGTTAGTCTCCAAATTAGGACAAAGGTGACTCCCAGTAATTCGCAATTGTTTCATTTGAATACTGTGTGTTCTTAGATAGTTGGAGAACGGAAAGTTCCCAGTAGGTTTCTGCTTATTAAACGCAGTTGCTGACAAATGAAACCAACGAGGAATGGCCTTAATTATGACAAATGTAATTTTTGACTTTTTAATTTTAAGTCATGAAACTCTTACTTTTGCACAGAGAAATGTCTTGGGTAAGAAAACTATTTTCCAACTTCTGTAATTCAAGCTTCATTTCAGCTTTTTCTACATCCATAAGTTGTTATATTACTTATAATCAAATATCTTTATTGAACTTACCACTTTTCCCTGTTTGCGGGCCAATATGACGGTGCGGTTGGTCTCCTGCAGCCAGTCGGTGTATCTTGTGGGCAGGTAGTCGAGGCCTCCATAGATACCCTGGCTCATGCCCATGATCTCATCAAAGTCCTCCTCAGTGGCCACAGAAAACTGAAGGCCTGCCTGGGACAGGGCCTCTGGGAGCTGGAGCATGGTCAGGCTGGTGTCAATCTTCATCTTGAAATAACTGATGAGATACAAAGTGGGGGAGAGGTTATTATGGATTGTAGTTATTTTCTTAAACAAGGATTTGGAAGAGCCCAAGAGCTGTCCTAACCCTGGTGGAACATTCTGGATGGGGCTAAACAAGCTTCTTCAAAATGTGTCTGCTTGGATAACAGGTGTTTGTGTCAAATCCACACCAAATGAGACTCTTGCTCAATTATAACACATTCAGTAATGTTTCTGCCACTTTAGATAGATTTAATGGAAAGAATAATCACATTAGTAACTCCCGGCACAAATGCTTTACATGTTATGCCTTGCACAGTGTAAATGAAACATACTGTAAGCAGTCTGTGAACGCAGAGTAATAGCAGTGGTAAAATACAGACAGACAACATCTATACACATTTAAATTTTCACTTATTACATAATATAGGAATCCAATACAGTGGAAAAATAAATATAGGAATTAAATTGATGAGATTGGTGTAGGAATTGACAACTAAAAGCAAAGCAATGCCAGTGAAAACCTTTCATTTTCATTCAATTGCCAAAAGAGTGAACCAAACACAAATGACTGCCAGGAATGATAATGGCCAGTAACTGAATGAGATTGAGCAACAGATGAGTAGAAAGCAGAATAAAGATTTATACAGGAAAACATGAATGGATGGATCAGAAGGATAGAGAAATGCAAGAAATAGGGAAATAAATTACAGATGAAACCAACTGGAGAGGCAGAAACAGATAAATCACAACAGACACAGGAAGTGTAAGATTGTCACCTATCTTGATCCCTATGTCTTTTCCGCTTAGTCTGGTAAATCCATACCCCTCAGCTCTCTAATCCCTACACTAATACCCTCTCCACATTGTAATCACTGGTATTTGTCCAGAACTTGGCTAAAGAATTTACAGAATTAAAAATACAAGATAAAATAGAGAAAGCTTTGAAGACATTTGTTTCATCACACAACCTTGAAGCCCACAATGCTTTTATTTCAACCCAGATAAGACACATCAAGACAAAGTCAAGATCAAAGTGTTGTGGGCGCTAACCAAAATAAATAAATATTGAATAATATTTAAGTGCACCGAGGAAAACAAAAACAAGATGCTTGCTCTTACGAAGTTTTTTGCATTTAATTAGGTCGATATACAAGGTATTAACACATGATGTAGTGCAGTGTGATCATATCAAATAAAACAAGCTTGTGCAAAAGAAAGACATGCAACATAAGAAGCCATATAAAAGAGTGATAAAATATGATAAGATGCAATTAAGGACGAAAACATAAAAAAGCATATACTGTAGGTAGGGTTACAAAGTAACACAGTTTATTGGACATAAATTCCAAAAGCTGTCAAATTCTGAAAGCTTCCCCCATTGATTGGATGTTTTGAATAAAACACATTTTAGTGCCGTTAGCAGTTTTGGATGGTGATTCCACCTTTCATAGTAGGCAATATGTAGTAAGATAACTCCTTCTTAACCTGCAATGTATGTATTTCACTGGGAGGGAATAAAGCATGGAAGATTCACAATACGTCTCTCCAGTTTTCACCCCCGAAGTAAAGGTTCCATAACCAACCAGCTGGATAACACTGCAATGGTTTTCTGTGAACACAACAAATTGTACTGCACTCAAGACCAATCTGCAGTTACTGTTACCAAAGTTCAACTACAGGTCTTTGACACAAACTTGAACAGTGCAACCCATGCTCATAAACGTTAATGTTTCAATATTGGCAGCAACATTGAGTGTTTGCATTTGCACTGATGACAAACAATTATAAATGGTACCTAGCCCTAGCTTTGATAGCTGTACAGAGATTGGAAGAATACCAACAACAAGATTGCAAATTGTAATCCAACAAACAGTTTGCTAAACTACCTCATTCAGGTCCTAGTTACTGAAGCCAAACCATTTATTGTCCATAACTGCGGCTTCTGAGACAAAAAAGACAATAGCAAACAAAGACAACCATCCAACAATCCAACTTCAGATCACCAACCTGCCTCTCAAGAGCATAGACATACAGTTTGTGTCAAAACCATGTCAAAACAGAAAGGAATACCGAAAAGAAAAAAGACTGAGCCAAACAGTCCAAGTATTGGCTCAATGGAAAACAACAAAGCTTTCAAATAAATGCAACGCTACTCCTAACCAGAAACAGATACAGGACACCAGGCACACACTGTGGAAACACATTGACAATCAAGCCTTTGTATCTATCTATCGTTATATAAACCCTCAAAACAACTTGTGTTTTCACATTTGGACCATCAATGGTAGCATGTACTGAGGCAGTGCCTCTGTTTTTCTACTTTGGCTCCTCCCCTTCCCGGTAGGTTTATTTCCATCGGTTACTATGATAACAGGTTCAGGAAGAATGGTACCACTATCAACCTCCTCTTCTGCATAGACCTCATCTGCCCATTTGTGAACACATGGTTGCAAAAAGAGAGAGGATTACTGGGACTGAATGGCTTGAACCAACACACAGGGCAGCTTTATTCTTAAGGATTTCACAATCACAAAGGGGGCCTAGAGCAAAGAAGACATACAGAAAGAGTATGACTGTATTGAAGTGCACCACTAAAAAATGTATACAAGCAAGACACAAAAGTCATTACATATCCATCCGGGTAGTTAAGTTGAACACCTGAACACATAAAGTCCTGGATTGTTCTTGCATAAAAGGGAGTAAGGATTCTATCTGTCAACAAGTCCAGCACCCTGACACTGTGCAACCTCAGAAAATAAAACGGCCGGGGTTAAGTGACTACCAAGGCCAGTGTCCTGTGGACCACCTATGAATAAATCATTATGGTGCCTTCCAAGGACAAACTGTTCCAGATTGCAACTGGTAAGGGCTATACTACAGCAAAGAAAATATGACGATAGAGGAGACTCAAGGATATTTCCTAGTCACCAAAACGAAAGAGCAAGAGGAGGCACTAATCGGGCATAATCAAACAAAGCAACCGCAATTGGATGCCGGGCAACATAAGCTGGCGAGATCACCTGGAAAGGGCGGTCTTGGCTTGTTTCAACTCAGGAACATTTTGCAAAAAAACACGCACTTCTTTAAATAAAAAACAGCTAAGACAAACATCCCTACGTTTCTAAAGTTAATCAAAGTTTACTTGATGCAAAAGAAAAAAGAGGTAGCGTTTTAAGACAAATCTTCCCTGAAATATTTCCGACCCATGTCAGGTACCTTGCTTGCACATGGTATTTGTTCACAACTTTTGAAGTGCAAATGTTACTGAATCAGAATAATGCCAACAAAGTACAGGTCTGAAAACGCCCTCACTGAAGGGTCGAAGGGTTATAGAGAATACTATTTATGTTTCAAGCCTTCGTTACCTGCTTCGTTACATTGATACCAATTTGTCCAAAGAAGTGACAAAATGATGAAAGGTTTTTGAAGATTTAATTTATTACAAGATGGAATCCTTAACATTTTGAAACACAACTTTTACCTCCTTTTTGAAAATACATGAGACACGTACAGTCTACGAGGTGGTAAAGACTGTAGACGTGTCTCATGTATTTTCAAAAAGGAGGTAAAAGTTGTGGTAAAAGCTGCAGCTCAACGTCACTAAACCTAAGGAGCTAGTGTGGTTGACTTCAGGAAGCAGAGTACCGCCCCAAGCCCAATTACCATCGTGGGCATGGATGTGGACAGTTACAAATTCCTGGGTGTCCACATAGACAATAAACTGGACTGGAATAAAAAAAACTGACGCCCTATATAAGAAAGGCCAGAGTCGCCTGTATTTCCTTAGGAGACTCAGGTCCCTTAACATCTGCAGCATTATGTTGCAGATGTTTTATGACTTGGTGGTCTCCAGTGTCATCTTCTTTGCTGTAGTGTGTTGGGGCAGTGGGGTGAAGACAGCTGATGCCAACAGACTCAACATGCTCATCGGGAGAGCAGGCTCTGTCTTGGGAGTGGATCAGGAGTCGTTGGCAGTGGTGTCGGAGAGGAGAATGTTGAGGAAACTTCTCAACATTCTGGACAACGGGTCTCACCCCCTGCATACCACACTGGTTTCCTACCGGAGCACTTTCAGCCACAGACTGAGACAGGGACGTGCACAGGTACGGGCTAATGTTGCCCGGGCAACGGCCCGTTTGCCATTTTTGTCTGACCTGCCCCTCTGGAGAAAGTGAGAGGTTTTTTTTTATTTTCTGTTGTGGCCGAATAAACATAAGCCCACAATTAGTATTGCAGCTTCTCGCTGCGGGAAACACACCGTCCGCGCTGTCATCTGCCCCCAGTAACGTGACTTTGTTTACAATCTGACGGCTGGAAGCAAAGGAAAGCCCTCAGAGTCCGGCCTCATATGGCTATGGTGATCATACCAAATGCCCGCCTGGCTTTGGTGGCCAATCCCCGGGTCAATCTTTTCCTCATTTTAAAATATGCTTTTAAGACCACCTCTAGTGTCGGATTTTGGAAAATTGATTTAGAGTTTTCTCATGGCAGTTAGACTAGGGGACAAACCAGGGGACACTGTCGGTTATTTACAGAAAAACACCTAAATATATTTGTTATTGTGCTTCTGTCTTTCTGTGTATTTTCATCTGTAAACTCCCTCACCGCTCACTGTCTTTTCTTGATCGCCCTCTCACAGAGAACACTTCACTGTCTTCATTGTAGGATTTCTGCCATGTCTCTCAGTTTGACCATCTCTGTTATTAAATGATGGAATACTAGATAAATAAGTAATTAGATACCTTACCGTTACTGCGCTCATAAAGAATGATAAGAATAAGAATAATGCGTATTGAACTGGTTTCATTAATGAAATTAAGTGAGAATTAAGTGAGTTTATTTAAGGTAATTAGTTAGAAGCCCTATTTTATCAGTATGTCTGCACAGCAGTTACAATGGTCTGTTCAAACTACATTAAAACAGAATTGTCCCCATTCTTTCTTTAATAGTTACTAACATTATATATTTTTAATGAGATATGGACCACAAAACAAAAGATATCCCTGGTTTTCATTTAAAAAATCAAGTCACTGAATGCAAGTAGTTGCCTTAGCTTATTTTTGTTATGAGATGATGATGTGAATTACTGTTCAAATTAGTTAATGTAATAATCGTTTGGTTATTTTATGCATAGCCTAATGTTACATTTTTGTGCTTAAGAATGCCTTCAAGACAGAGGAGACTGAAGGAGAGAGAGAGATATCTGAAGGAGGCAGCTAAAAGGACTGCAACTTTGCAAAGCTGGATAAAAGGTGCCAGCAGGGCAGCTTCAGGTGAAGCACTGTGATTATGTCAAGCAACTACATACATTGGAGTACACTAATAAAAAAAATCAGTGATAAATGCAAAGCCTGTATCTGTGCTGAGTGAAGTTCATATTTTCTGTTGGGGGCTAACCCCAAGCCTCCAGTTCAGAGCACATTTGAGAGGCTGAACTGAACACAGACTGAATAACGAATTTAGCAGTTGGACATAAAAGTCAACTGAGTGTCACTTGCAATGAAAGTGTTGTGTTTTTATTTCATTAACCTTTTACATTAAAAAACAAGTTAGAATTTTCAAAAGGTCTTATGTTTTTTTTCGGGAGGGGAGGCCCTTTTTCAGATTAGAGCAATAACCCCTCCAAATGTCTGTGCACGTCCCTCCCGGCCACCAAACTGATGCATTCGCCCTTTCTCTGCATTTTGAGAGCCCCTGGTGTCCCTCATGTATTTTCTGCAAAATGTCTGCTCTCAGTGACCCCGGAACCACAATCCTGTTTCCTCGTATGACTAAGCCATCAGCTTCTGATAGAGGCAGCTAAAAGGACTGCAACTTTGCAGAGCTGGATAAAAGGTGCCTGCAGGGCATCTGCAGGTGAAGCACTGTGATTATGTCAAGCAACTACATACATTGGAGTACACTAATAAAACAAATCAGTGATAAATGCAAAGCCTGTATCTGTGCTGAGTGAAGTTCATATTTTCTGTTGGGGGCTAACCCCAAGCCTCCAGTTCAGAGCACATTTGAGAGGCTGAACTGAACACAAACTGAATAACAAATTTAGCAGTTGGACATAAAAGTCAACTGAGTGTCACTTGCAATGAAAGTGTTGTGTTTTTATTTCATTAACCTTTTACATTAAAAGGTCTTATGTTTTTTTTCGGGAGGGGAGGCCCTTTTTCAGTTTGGAGCAATAGCCCCTCCAAATGTCTGTGCACGTCCCTGGACTGAGATCACCGAAGACCGCCACACAGCGCCACAGGAGGTCTTTCCTCCCAGTGGCCATCAAACTCTTTAACTCTTCACCCTTAAGTAAAGGGAACTGAGAACTTCCACACCAACACTATGTGCAATATAAATATAATTACTGTGCTGCCTATTTCTATGTTTATAGAGTTGGGACATGTTTTTTGGCTCACAGTGAGCGCTCCTTGGTTTTGTTGGTTTGCTGGGGGCGTGTCAGAGTGAGCGCTCTCTGCTTTGCGAGGATCTTTGTAAACGGAGCACGGAGATCAACACATGGAGCAGAGACGTCATGTAAACTGTGTTCGTGTCTGTGATACTTGAGCCTTGGAGACTATTTGTCTGTGAGTTATTCATGTGCAATTTGGATGTGTTATGTGCAGAATGTTTGAAGTTTGTAACTTTTGGTCTGAAGCTAGTTTAATCTGTGCTAATTTAGCTAATGGTGATCTGTGCTATTTCTAGCTAATAGTGACGCTAATGATAGCTAATTCCTAATTGTAGTATGTGTGTCGTTTGTACAGTGCTACTTATATGTTATGTAAAGCCTGCATACTTATACGTGTTTTATTTCTGTATTGTTACAGTTTTACAAAGTAAAAGAAGAACAGTAAAGTGAAGAAAGAAAAGCTTGCATCTTTATTGGAGGACTTTTAAATGTTAGCTAACTGTCTAGCTAGCGCATATGGATACGCGCTGTAAGGGCAGAATAATTACCATCATTACAATACACTCGATGCTATATAACTATGTGCAATATTAGTATTATTAATAATATGCTATGATAACGTGCAATTACGTAACTGCCACTACGTTTTCATTTTTTTGCACAACTAAATACTGCAAATAATTGCATTGATTGTGTGACCATCTATGTTTCTATGTTTCATGTTTAATTGCTCTTTTTACTGCACTTTTAGTGTACAGTTTTGCTGTTGTGCTGCTGTGTTTATTGTATTTGTGTTACTCTGGCACAATAATGTCCTTCGGGATAAATCTTATCATAAGTCTTATCTTATCTAAAACAAAAATGATAACAATTCTAGTTGTTGACGCTAAATGCAACAGGAGCACCATCACCAACAATATTTACATTCTGTATTCAATACAGTAATCTACACCTTCCAGAGAATAGCCATTAGTTGGTAATAGTAGATAGCAACAAAGATTAAATGGACGATCTTCTTGAGCAGGACAACTTAATATTTGCCTGACTGGTGCAGACAGAGTGTAACTATCACAGTTTAACAAGAGAAACTGAAGAGTACATAGTGCTCTACAAAAGCTCATTCTTTAGGTGTTTTGCAATAATGTCTAAAACCCCACCCAACATTCCCCTTCCTCTAACAAATGGATGAAAACATAATTATATGTTCTTTGTTAATTTGCTGAGATTGGTTATTTGTTGCTAATATTATTACCCTTATTTTGTATTTGAGCACTGTCTTTCTGATTCCATTGAGTGGATGTGGTTGGTCCCTTAGGGGTGTTTCTGGTTAGGAGAGGCTAAAACAGAAATGCTAGTAATATTCCAATGATCTATCAATGGGCCATGTGAGCTGTAAGGGCATTTGTAGAGAAAACACTGTCTGGTCACAGCAGACCCACACATACACACTCTGGACTCTGGTATTTTTCCATTATGCTTTGATGATTTGAGATGGGGTGTCAGGCTTAGCTGGGTACTCTGGTCCTGCCAATGAGAGCGATGCTGTTTTGTTTTTGTGTTTCTCTCTCACACAATCATTGATTTACTCTTGTCCTATTCACTCTCTCATGCTTTCGCTTCCTCTCTCCCTCTCTTTGGCTGGCAGTGTACTCCAAACTAAATGGAATTTGGCACATTTGCAAGAGACTGTTGAACTGCAATCAAATATGTCACTGCAGGCGATAGCCAGTTTTATTTGCTGCAGATTGGGGTCCAGTCATTTAATGATGCCTGTGCCAGATGGGGGAGCTTTGGAATTGGGTTTGGGAAGGACACAATGGACACAATTGGTCCTTAAACCAAAGGGATGCACACAAATAAGCGCATTCCGTCACATTACTTTGTTGGTGAATTGACCGGCATACCAGTGCACTTGGCACCAAGTTGTACCAACAATGACAGCAAAGAAGAGGAGAGAATATAGCAATAGATGGATGATTGAGTTTCAGCAATGCCTGATAATCCCAAGTCCCAAAAGTAGCATCAAAGAAGTTATATAACGTAACTCCAAAGAGTTCAAACAATCTGATGGTTTAAGAGCAAAACTCAGAAAACTAAGAGTTACAGCAACAACCAACTGGCGATCAAAATAAAACCAGCCACAAATTCTTGATGAACTTGCCATTTTGTCTCTGTAAATACACCAGATTTGATTTATTTGGAGTACGCAGCCAGCTCTCCTCTTTGACTTCCCCCAATTCTACACAGAAAAAGAACAGGTCTCTTGAACACCTCAAAATACAAAACTCAAAGGAACACACCATGTCTTCAGTAGATTATCCTGTTGGTGTGATGAGAACATGGACACCAAAATCACTCATGTCTCCAGGGTTGATCCTTGGCTCCAGTGCTTCATGCCAGTAGGCTCCATGCGGATGCAAACACATAAGAAAACCACTCTGTTGTGCGATAGCAGGCTCCATGTCATTTTTCCAACGTTGCCCCGCCTATACATGAAACAAACCATTGACACACAGGCACCAGAAAATGATTAGTTGCGGAATCAGTCAATCATAACTCTGTGCTTGTTGCCATACAAATAAGACAGCCGTGCAATATTTCACACAGTCAGCTACACTGATTGTTTCTGTTTGGGTATTAGTTATCATTAAAATACATATGCAAAGCAATTCAACCTGTTTTAGTACAGTTTGTTTAATGCATTTGCTTTGATTACATAATATCACAACCATCACCATTTCTTGACATTTGATCTTTTATAATATAATATGCTTTTATTATACACTTAGCTTAATTACTCAACAATAAGCAAAATGTAATATCCATGAACAGATAACTTAACCCTAACCCTAACTACTGTTTGCAGCAACTGTTGTAAAACATCAAACTTATGTGGTTTTGGACTATATTTATGTAAATATCCTCTCATCTGTGTGACTCTTATTTGGATTTTTTAAATATAAAGCTTGATACTATATAAAGCTTGACACAGTCACTACAAAAGAAGACCAGACATCCGAAATGCAAGTAGGTAAAGTTTGATGTGATGGATTAACCATTTCAATATTTTTATATGAGAAATATCTTCTTTTTTAAATAGCTATCAAAATACAAAAGCAACCATAAAGCCATAGGGTTGACTGGAAGCTAACTAGATATAGCTTACTGACCTACAATATACCTCACATGCTGTAACATTTCCACTTAACTGAAAAAATAAAATATGTAAATCAAAAAAGGCCTCTCAAATGACCTTGTACAATGATGCACATAGAAATCTTGTGGGCCATCCATTATATCTGCGATATGAACGGCTCTACAGCGAAACACTATAAAGACAGAGGTCATGGTTAATGGCAACTTTTAGAAGGATTGGTATGGAAAAAAATCTCTCCCTCCTCTGTAGGGGTGACCCCCATTGTTAGTGGATTTCTACAAAAGGGAAGCTTAAATATTATTATATTAAAACAAATAGCATTACAACTCCATGGTTTGAGTTAATTATATGAATTTTTTTAATTCTAAAGGTGCCTGCATCTGATGGTTTGAGTTAATTATATGAATTTTTAAAATTCTAAAGGTGCCTGCATCTAATGACTGATTCACCATTGACATACATATTGCATACATATTGGGGGATATTACATTTTATTCTTGACAACTTTCCCCAATAAGGTTACTTCCAAACATTTTAAGAAAGATATTGTTGATGGAAAAATATGCAGTAAATATAAACCTTATTTAAAATCCAATGAAAATGACCTTACTGTATTATCTAAAAATCAATACCTTCCATGTTAAGTGAGCCAACCAATACTGGGTCTCATTGAGCAGCAGCTGTTTGATTTAGGTCATTGTATGGAGAGAGCTATTATTATCTATGTTTAACATGACATGATACAATATTGAATATATTAAACTGTTCAAATTACATGTTTTGGTAATAATATTTACCTTTATTCCTACCCTTACTTTAAGGATAGGAGTTCTTTATTATATATTGTTTGGCACTGATATATGGATATCTTTAAAGTCACTTAGTCCAGGATTTGAATTATTTTTTTATTCTGGTACCATAAAATAATTATCTCAGGCTGTTACACACTACCCTTCAACCCTGCCAACCCCCCAGCATTTCCCATCCCCAACCCTGCCCCCCTCACACACACACACACACACACACACACACACACACACACACACACACACACACACACACACACACACACACACACACACACACACACACACACACACACACTCACAAGCGCACACACACATTCAAACAAAACAAAATAAATACAAATATAGAAACTTTTATGAGAGCTCTAATTAAGTTAGTTAGTCGTTGTCTGTTTGGATCAGACTACAAAAATGAACTCATCCAACATGCGAGGGTCATAGTGGAAGACAACCAATTATACAGCTAAAGGCCGTCACGGAAGTGGCCAATGGAAAGATGATAATGTCCAAAATGTGTCAGTGGGTTGAATCTTGCCATGGCAGCTGGCATGCCCAGAAGTATGTCAGTGTATATCATTTCAGTTATGAAAGACTTCAAGATAATATTGGGCTTTCTCGATGATGGGTTGGAGTTATGGAAGACAAACGTGCAAATCACAACTTCAAGCGAGGACGAGAAAGTTTCAGTTAAGACAAATCACAGCACCAACACATCAAATGTGGCAGATCTTCTAATTTCTCTGCAAAGTGTTTTTAGTTCATTCATATTGTTAATTGTTTGCTATAGGTCAATAGTCACCAGTTGAACTTAAGGTGATCTTTTCCCTCTCTTCATCCCCAATAGTAAATCCACAAAGTGTTCCAATTCTAATGGAATTTATTTATTTGCCTGCAGTTTTTGGAGTTTTTTTTAAGCTGGGGCAACCAAGCCTTAATGCAGTTGTCTAAGAGGAACTGAAAGCCTAGGTAACAAATGATATCGCCAATTGCATTGGCTTCTTAATTAAGCCATTTGCAGGACCACAGCTGAGAGCCCAGTTATGAGCTGTGGCCCAATGAATTTATAAAAACAAATTACTTTGTGGCAGGTGGTAGGACATGTTCTACGTTCCCCATGGCGAAATGTAACAACAGATATTATAAAATAGTAGAAAGAAGAGTCAAAATTGTTTTAGTGTTTACATGCTTTAATTTTAAGAGCCTATAATTGCTATTTTAAGTACAAAGTTGTATTGCTTATTCACAGTTCTTCTAATGCTATGGCCTCTGCGTCCATGGCTCCGTTCATCTGTCTTTCCCTGGTAACACACCTGCCACGGGCCAAGGAATGGGGAAGGGATGTTTGTCCTAGGAATAAAGATAGGAAAGATATGAATTTTGACATTTGTGCGTAAATAACTTCGAAATGGGGGGAAAACACAATTAATCCATGTTGCCCTTACCTTGGCAAGAACTCTAGAGTCCGTCAACCAGCACCAGAGGAAGCATTTACCCGCTTTTAGAGGCATTACTTTGTCCGAGCTCAACCACCTCAGCATATGTGCTTAATGGTTTAAGACCTCCACCTGTACAACGTAGCATTAGTCATGAATAATGCGTCATCTGAGGCACAATGCATAATTTACAACGGGGTAGCTTACCAGTTGCTGCGGCAGCTTTCTTGTAAGCTGTAATTCACTGATGATCGTTTGACATGAACACTTTTAGCATTTCCTGAGTAGAAAAGTTGAATTATATGCAATGTATTACCAGTTTTTCCATTTTATTTAAAGTTTGATGTCATAAATCTGGCCCTTGGCTGATCCTTTCACTTCCCCCAATTCTACACAGAAAAATAACAGGTCTCTTGAAAACCTCAAAATACAAAACTCAAAGGAACACACCATGTCTTCAGTAGATTATCCTGTTGTTGTGATGAGAACGCAGTGCTTTCTTATGAATATAAGAAAGCACTGCGTAAAGCGCAGAATGAGAATAAGAATGAGAATAAGAATAATGCAATATTTATTTTCAGGCTGACAGAGAGCCACAGCTCGATTGAGCCTTCTATTCCCATAGTACTCAGTAGTACTGATTTTATGTGCTTTTTTAACGATAAAATTGTTACTCTTAGAAACAAAATTAATGACCTCTTGCCTTTGACCAGTATAGTGTTATCAACAGCTCCCGGAAACGTAAGTTCTAATATTACACTAGATAGTCAACTAGAATGCTTTTCAGCCATAAACCTTGAACAATTAAATGCAATGATTCTCTCTTCTAAACCATCAACGTGTATCTTATCATGCTATGTTCCACAATCATTCAAAGAAGCAGTGATAAAACCGCTTCTTAAAAAGCACAACCTCGATCCAGAGGTTTTAGCCCTGAGACTGCCAAGGCACACNCATGGCATAATGCCGAAACCCGCAAAATAAAGCAAAAGTCGAGACAACTTGAAAGGATATGGCGTTCCACTAGACTTGAAGAATCTCGTTTAATTTGGCATATTACTCTCAATGAATATAAGAAAGCACTGTGTAAAGCGAGAGCAGCTTACTACTCTTCATTAATAGATGAGAATAAGAATAATGCAAGATTTCTTCTCAGCACTGTAGCCAGGCTGACAGAGAGCCACAGCTCTATTGAGCCTACTATTCCCATAGCACTCAGTAGTAATAATTTATGTGCTTTTTTAACGATAAAACTGTTACTCTTAGAAACAAAATTAATGACCTCTTGCCTTTGACCAGTATAGTGTTATCAAAAGCTCCCGGAAATCTAATATTACACTAGATAGTAAATTAGAAGGCTTTTCAGCCATAAACCTTGAACAATTAAATTCAATGATTCTCTCTTCTAAACAATCAACGTGTATCTTAGACCCGATTCCAACTAAGCCAGGGGTCGGCAACCCACGGCCCTCGAGCCGCATTCGCGGCCCTTTAAGCCCTCTGCTCTGGCTCCCTTGAGCTTAGACAAAAATAAGAAGGAAATAAAATAAAAGTATTTGTTGGACTATTTATATTTTGTTGCATGGTTGAAAATGTTTCGTATCTTGTATTTTGAGGTGATACTGTGACACATAAATAAAAAACAAAACGGTTTTAATTAGGTCAACTAAAATATGCGTCACATCCGGCTACTGTCCCGCGCCAGCGCCTTTTCCTGCGGGTGAATAACCTGACCCCCGCTCCGGCTCGATGAGCGAACTATGGATAAATCAAAGAAAAGTACCGCAGGAACAAAGGATTTAATTCTGTGTGGACAGAGTTATATGCTTTCACAGCAAACGATGCTGGTTTACCGGTATGTTTGATATGTAGAGAGAAGTTGTCAAAGGTGCTGCAGCCTTTACGTATCGGGAACAACACGGGAGAGGAAGACAGCTGACGATCTTCAGTCATAATTCAATGGGGTGTGTAATTTATTTCAGAAAACACTTTTTGCTATATTCCATGGAATGCTCTTAACATCCCGATAGCAATGAATATATGAAATGCTTTGACAATAATGACATACACAAATTAATCTGTGGAAGCCGTAGGGCTGTAGCGCTGTAAAGAGCACGACCAATCATCTGAGCCGACACCGGCCCGGCTAAAATAACTGGATGGCCTACCTGCCTGTCAGCCTTCCATCTGTCCACAAACTTATCTCGTGCCCTCATTGGTCATGTGCGCGTTCGTGTGTGTTGGAGGTTTTTTCAAATTCTAGCGCAATCGAGCTGGTTTCTCCATTCTTACCTACCCCACCGTTAACTCTTTTTAGGGTGCAGCTATATGTTTTATTTATTTCAAAGTGGGCACATTTTAATTATATATTTGTTTCCTTCAAATGTGCAGAGGACTCCCCAATTGCTGTGTTTAATTTATGTTAAAGTAGGCCTGTGTATTATTTTTTATTCTCCTTATAGGAGTTCTTTGTTTCTTATTAGAGGTTAACAGTTTTACGTAATAACGTAATACATAGCATAATAAATGCAAAAAAACCCTGTAGTTTTTGTCTGATATAACAATAAATACAACTTTATTAGCTATCAAGCTATGAAATATGTTTTGCGGCTCCAGACAAAAAAATGTTGGGGAAAAAGGACCAAAATGTCTCTTTTGGTCAAAAAGGTTGCAGACCCCTGAACTAAGCTGTTGAAGGAAGTTTTTCCATTAATTAGCACTTCTTTATTAAATATTATGAATGTGTCTTTATTATCAGGCTATGTTCCACAATCATTCAAAGTAGCGGTGATAAAACCGCTTCTTAAAAAGCACAACCTCGATCCAGAAGTTTTAGCCAACTATAGACCTATTTCTAATCTTCCGTTCCTCTCAAAAATTATTGAGAAAGCAGTCGCAAAACAGTTGTGTGATTACTTATAAAACAATGATTTTTTTGAAGATTTTCAGTCTGGCTTTAGAACACATCATAGCACAGAGACAGTTCTGGTTACAGTCACAAATGACATTCTAATAGCCTCAGACAAAGGACTTGTCTCTATTCTTGTCTTGCTCGATCTCAGTGCTGCATTTGATACTATCGACCATGATATCCTATTGCAAAGACTAGAGCACTTAGTTGGCATACAGGGATCTGCTTTAGGCTGGTTTAGGTCCTATCTATCTGAACGCTCTCAGTTTGTACGTGTCAACGATGAATCTTCCATGCAAACCAAAGTTAGCCATGGAGTGCAACAGGGCTCAGTGCTTGGACCTATTTTGTTCACATTATATATGCTTCCGTGAGGCAATATCAAAAGGAATCATTCTGTAAATTTTCATTGTTATGCGGATGATACTCAACTATACTTATCAATCAAGCCTGATGAAATTAATCATCTAAATAAAATTCAAGACTGCCTCAAGGACTTAAAAACGTGGATGACTTTAAACTTGTTGATGTTAAACACGGCCAAAACTGAAGTTATTGTACTCGTCCCAAATAATCTACGAACAAATTATCTAAAGATATACTAACTATGGATGGCATTAATTTGGCCTCCAGTGAGACTGTAAGGAATCTTGGTGTTATATTTGATCAGGATTTATCCTTTAATGCCCATATAAAATCAATTTCAAGGACCGCCTACTTACATCTACGTAACATTGCAAAAATCAGGCATATCTTGCCTCCGAACGATGCAAAAAAACTAGTCCATGCATTTGTTACTTCAAGGCTGGATTATTGTAACTCTTTATGATCAGGGTGTACCAAGAAGTCAGTCAAGTCGCTTCAGCTGATTCAAAATGCTGCAGCTCGTGTACTAACCAGAGTTAGGAAAAGGGACACATTACTCCTGTTCTGGCTGCCTTACACTGGCTCCCTATAGAACACAGGATAGAATTTAAAATTATTCTTCTCGCCTACAAAGCCCTTAATGGGCAGGCGCCATCTTACCTTAAAGAACTCATTATACCCTACTGTCCTACTCTAGGGCATTGCGTTCCAAGAATTCAGGGTTGTTGGTTGTTCCTAGAGTCTCTAAAAGTACAATGGGAGCCAGAGCCTTTTCTTATCAAGCTCCACATTTGTGGAATCAGCTTCCAGTTTTAGTACGCTGAAGACCTACCTTTTTGATAAAGCTTATAGTGATAAAATGAAATAATCTAATAAGAGTGCATTGACGTAGATACGTTGTGCCTCTTCACCTATACATTTTAGTTCTTACTCTTTCACTTAAATCCTAAAAACTTAGATCTTATATAACTTTATCCAAACCTTTCCCCTCTATGACCTCTCGAGGTTTATTAGAGGGTAACAGGTTGCAGAGAACGCCTAGCCCGGCCGGGGAGTGTGGAACGTAGTCACTGACCTACTCCTACCTCTGACAAACTCAGGTTCCAATCCCAACTAGCCTTGTTAACTCTCATGTCCATGTTGTCTGGTCCTTTCTGCCTTGTTTCTTTTTTTTTTTCATTTTCTCACGGTGTGGGGTTGTTCAGTTCGTGGATATCGTTCTGATGTGATGTCACTAGATGTATGTACGTGCAGGGTAATCCTTAACAACTCCCTTCTTCCCATCGTTATTCTTGCAATCCTTCCTTTTGTCTTCTCTACCTCTCCGTCGGTGGTC